TGGTTTGAAATTCATCAATATCATAATATTTACATGTTTTTCCATCCAAGTTATTCAATAATTGGACATCATTTAAGCTACTTTTAAGATCTTGATACATATCACCCTGTATCCTATAAGTGTTATTCATATTTGTTAATAAACTTTTGTGTGTGCTGAGCCCCAAAATATCCCACCCGACCTACATTAAACATATCAACTAATTCCAACCCATGCGTCTCCAAACCCCCTGAAGAACATTTCAAATAAAAGAAAAGGGAGGAAAAAGGGAAGAAGGAAGTAAAAAAGAAAATTAAGAAAAGGAAACTCAAAATAGAGTGATTGTAAAAATATAAAATACAAATAGATAATAATAAAAAAATAATAACATAGTAAATAAAGTGATTGCTGAAATGGTTAACTATAAATGTAGGATTGTAGACTTGTTAAATATATCCATAAAGAATTATAAAGAACATTAATATTTTTAAAGAAAAACTAAGACTTTAAACAAAAAGTTTTCCCAGCTCCTCTTCGGTAAAGGTGATCGGTATATCCTGAGGATTTTTAGAGAAATATGTAATCCTGACCTTATCATTAGAATCTTTCTTGATCTTCAGTTTGATATGCCCGTTCTCATCAGAATAGAATTTGTCAATCTTGCCTGTCTTCTTCAACATCCGACACTCGTATAGAATATTGGAACGTTTATTTGTCAGCTGGAAGTTAAAATAAACATTGAAAAAGCTGTTTTCTGGCGATTTAATCTTCCGTACTAGGTTTTCCCAAGCTGACCCTTCCTTTCTATTCCAGATTTTTAGGAGAACATACTTGTTTGGAAGGCGATGGCAGGCCTGAATATCTGATTCTGGAATTGTGATGCCATATTTCTCCTGTACTAGTTTGATAATATGAGATTGCATTGTAATCTTTTCTCTCCTTAGTTCCTCGTCATGTTTTGTCAAGGAGACTTTTCCTTGAGCTTGATTTGGTAAGCTAGAAACTATCACATTACCCTTGAAACCTCGTTGTCTAATTTCGTCAATCTCATCTCCTTGCCATCTAATCTTGGTTTCCTGTTCTTCTTGAGTAGATTTAATCTTGTTTACATTGCTGGTAATAGCTTGAACAGCAGAGATAAGGTTAGAGATGACTTCTCTTATATCCACCTGTTCCCCTGTATCCACAATATCCAGATTCTGTTGCTGGTCTGGGGTTTGACCTAGGCTGATCTTTAGCTGGTTTAGACTATCACACAGAGTAGCTACAGTAACCTTGTTCACAATACATGATACAGAATCCTTAGGTGTTAGAGGTTTAGCAGGAGAACCAGTTTTACCTCCAGTTTTCTTACCAGATCCTTTTCCAGCCATATTGAACAAGTTCAATTTTAGATATTATAATATTGTGTTAACTTGATATCAGCGATTCACATCAACTACATGTAAACCATGTAGATATAGAACAGATTGAAATATAGGAGCTCTAATGGAACACTGTAATATTTCTTATATATGTACTTGTTAGAGGAGAATATTCATAGTCTCGTAGCAGCTGATCTGCAGAAGATAGATCCAAAGAAGAAAATATACCTCAGACCCAGCACCATCAGGAGAACAAGTAATTGAAGTGTTTTATTCTCCAAAGTATTTGATCAGCGATTTAGAGCAAAATTTGAAATAAATGATGAATCCCACATACCGAGTAAAGCCTGATGACGGATATGGTAAATATGCAGCTGAAGATGTAGTTGAAGAGGATGAGGATGCAGCCGAGAATGAGAGTGAGTCGGAAGATGGAAGTGTCCCAAGCTTGGAGACTGACCTCTCATCAGATGATGATCAGATCAACATTCCTGGAATAGAAGGAAGGAGTTCTCCATTGAGGGATCATGTGGATCAAAATTGTCCTCAGCCCTTTGATGAACGGGCACTTACTCCACCTCATCTCCCTAGTATCTGGGATCCTCCTGAACATCACGGAGCCCAGTTACACGAGTTCCTCCATTCAACCAGGGAGAAGATATTGGATCGTTTGTTCGTGCAGGTTCTGAGGATGAGGAGATATCTGGAGGAGCAACGGAGGTTAAACTTGATCCTTGAGTATGAGGTATTATTAGAGGGTTTATTCCTCCTCATGATGATGGGATCCAATCTTGATAGGATTGCAGAGATCTCAAGGAATCCTGCTCATGATCCTAAATAGGATCATAATTATTCATTATAATCAATAACAGATTAATTTTATATAAGTATGTTCATTAAGATAATATATTTAAAATAAATGTAAATGTACTTGATAATATTGTTATAATCCTTGGGATAAAACAAGGTTACAAACATATGGAAATATCGGGTATCAGACCGTTCTATGAATGAAGCTTAAAGATATGAACTTGTCTCATTTATGTTTATGGTTTATGGAATGATCTATTATGGATCAACCAAATATGATGAATTGATCATATAAATGTCCAGGGTTAGTTCAGAGTTATTGTAAGAAAATACTACAAAAATACTTTATAAGCACAAGTATTCTTAACAATGAATATAAAATTAAATATGAAGAAAAAGATTGAAATTGAACTTTATTCAATTTTTTACGAAGTAAATAAATAAAAACCTTTCAGTGCGTGTATCAGGTTACACACTACATAGGCGCGCAACTAGGGGGGGGGGCAAGGCTCCTTTAGCCTGATTAAGGGGGGGCATGCCCCTCCCTTAAGAAGTGTTGCCCCCCTGTAAGGGGAGCAAGAAGTCCAACCTGTTTTGCAATTTAGCGATTCATGAATTCCTTGGAAAGGGGTTTTTTTAAGTATTTTTAGATATTTTCACAAGTTCTGCCACTTATTATGATAAAGCTTAAATACTGTGGTACTGTGGTACTGTTAATCCTACATGATCACCGCAAATATTGTGTGATGCGTCATATTAAAAAAAATATTTTTCATTTTTTAATGAAAGGCATTTCTTGTCAGTGTATGAGTACAATGTACATATTTAATTAATGGATGAATAATGAATACATATACATATATGTAAATTGTAATATGTTTTTAATCATGACAATTAATAAATAAATCTAATCTTAAGTAAAATTCTTATGCCACTACGTCAATAAAAAATCGATAACATTTTTCATTACGCATGATAATAACCAAGATTTTAAAAAAAGCTGCATTGTATAGTGGAGGCTCGTTCACTGCATAGCGGAGGCACGGTCTGCATAGCGGAGGCTTGATCTGCATTGTGGAGGTTTATTAGTCTGCCTAGCAAATCTAGTAGGCTCGTGTCTGCATAGCAGACGCTCATGGCGTCCGGGGGTTCCCTCACTCGGGGGAGAGAATGAAACGTATGCATATATGCATTCTCCGTGATATTTAGGATTCAAACATAATTCTTCAATCCTCTAATTCCAGATAAACATAATCTTGCAAGATAACCAAACCCTCTAGTTCTAATATTTAGATATGCATACAAATGCTTACCAGATAAACCAACCCTCTAGTTCTAATACCAGATATACATACATACGCTTACCAGATAAACCAACCCTCTAGTTTTAATACCAGATATACATACATACGCTTACCAGATAAACCAACCCTCTAGTTCCAATACCAGATATACATACATACGCTTACCAGATAAACCAACCCTCTAGTTCTAATACCAGATATACATACATACGCTTACCAGATAAACCAACCCTCTAGTTCTAATACCAGATATACATACATACGCTTACCAGATAAACCAACCCTCTAGTTCTAATACCAGATATACATACATTCGCTTACCAGATAAACCAACCCTCTAGTTCTAATACCAGATATACATACATACGCTTACCAGATAAACCAACCCTCTAGTTCCAATACCAGATATGCATATATACGCTTGCCAGATAACCCAACCCTCTAGTTCCAATACCAGATAAACCAACCCTCTAGTTCAAATACCAGATATAAATACACATGATTATCGGATAAACCAACCCTCTAGTTTAATACCAGATAAACCAACCCTCTAGTTCCAATACCAGATATACATATGCTTACCAGTTAAGCTAACCCTCTAGTTCCAATACCAGATATACATACGCATGATTACCAGATAAACCAACCCTCTAGTTCCAATACCAGATATGCATATGCTTACCAGTTAAGCTAACCCTCTAGTTTCAATACAAGATATACAAACACATGATTACCAGATAAACCAACCCTCTAGTTCCTATACCAGATATACATACACATGATTATCAGATAAACCAACCATCTAGTTCCAATACCAGATATACATATGCTTCCCAGATAAGCCAACCCTCTAGTTCCAATACCAGATATACTTACACATGATTACCAGATAAGCCAACCCTCTAGTAGATATACATACGCTTACCAGAATAATTTAACCTCAAGTTACAAAGCAAGATATCCTTATTCTTGCCTTCCCGTGCTGGGCAACCTAACCCTCATCTTCTCCTTGTATTTAACCCCGATCCAAGCCCTCCTTTACCAGATTCCATAAACTTACAACACCGCGTCTGATATCACAGTCCTCACATTCCCTTACCAGGAATAACAATTCTAAGCAAGAATTTCCATAACTGTCTATCTCAATCCTTACATCACTCCAGTGCTTAGGATCTATTTTATTTTAATGTGGATTCGGATCCTGGATGCTCCGTGAAAAAGAGGATCGACCGGGCCATCAACATTTCAAGTTTAAGACTTCTAACTTAAGTAAGAATTTTTAAAAATCTTTGTTTCGTTATATTTAAGCTTCAACTTCATGAAACATCCAGAGATTAGGAAATTTGTAATAATCTCTCGTTAGTCAACAATTGATATTTGCGCTTTGAGAGCAAAAAGGTCTTGGTAGATATTTTGCCCATTAGATCCGAATCCGTGGATTGGCATACTTTTTATCCTTATAAATTTTAAATTCTGTTTATTAAAACTGAAACCGTATTATCTATGCATTCTTTTCCTCGCCGTTCTTTATGGAACAAGTAACTCTAAAGATAGATAGATTTATTTCTCGTTCTGTTTTGTATCTACAATTATTTGTACTTGCAGTGTCCGCCCTATGGTCGGATACATCTATCTTGAACAAACCAAATACCAAAATTTCGTCCTTTAACAATTCAGTGGACATACTGGGCAAAAAAGGAAGTTTTATCACATTCATACATAAATTTACTGCTTTAATGCGTTCAAAAGCCTTTAATGCCACGAATAATAACAGGTAAAGAGAAGAAAGAATCCATAAACTAAATAAAGCAAGAAAAATATCCTCTTGTTTGAAAGAAGAGTTTGTAAGTGCAAAAATGAGATTTTATATTACGCGTGGGCTGGTTCCGTTAATACATAAACACGGCTCCAGGATTATCTGTGAACCCTTGGGAGTTCAGGGGATAGAGCAGGAAGATTAGAGCTGACCGATAAAGCTTGACGTTATAGTTGACCGTTTCTTTGTGAAGGTTCCCGCCGCTGGTTATCACGGTTCCAGTGACCAATGTCCTCGTTCCAATCTCGGGATGGACCATTGGTCCGTGTTCTCTGAGAGAACTCATGGTCCGGGGACGGTTCTGAGGATTCAGAATCACTTCCGTCCCCATCACTATCCTCAATGTTTAAACCAAACTCTTTCCTAAGTCTCTCGGTTAAATCTTCTCTGGGTTCATCTGGGGTTGGAATGTGAGGACGAGGGATATAGATGGCGGGAGGGATAAGAGCTGAAGGAACTGAGGGTTGGATAGGTTTAGGACCAGGAGCAGGCTCACGGCTTCGTTTTAAACTATTGCTTGGAGTAGGCGTTCGAACTAAAAGAAAACAAAATGACAATTAATAAAAAAATAAAAATAAAATTAAATTGCTTTACAAAATTTAACTCGCTTTATATTTATTACCTTTGTTTAATGGTTCCTTGGGTTTGGATTCCCATTTCTCAGATCTAGGGAGAGTTGGTGCGACTTTCCTCGGAGACGCAACCCTATCCTTGAGTTTGGCAGGAGAACCAGATTTTTGCTTCCTTTCGAACCCAGGAGAGTTTGATCGGACTTTGTTCTCAAATATCTGTGGACTGGATCGGGTTCTCCGCTCCGTCAGTTTCGGACTGGTTTTAGTTTTCATCTCCGTGAGTGGAGAAATGGATCGGTTCTTCTTCTCGAAGATAGGAGATGCGGGTTTAGATCTCCGGGTCTCTAGTCCAGGGAGTTCTGGCAGAGTTGTGACGGGTGAAGTAGAAATAAGCGTGTTAAGAACAGTATCTAGAGGTTTCTCAGGAGCTTCGTCAATGGAATCCGTTCTATATGCTTGTTTTCTCTTCTTATAGTCAGCAATAGTTACTCTCTTCTTCGGACCCGGAGTCAAGGAGGGTGGGGTTGAGGGAGGTCTAGGATCTGTACTCAGCAGAAGTTGGGACGGAGTCCAGGGTCTATCTTCATTCAGAGATTCATATCGAGGAGATAACACATTGCTCACAGAAGATTCTTGTGCCTAAAATAATAAGTTTGTTAAAAACTTACAATGAGAAATCATGTGGATACATCATAAAATATTTGTTGATAAAATAACGTTTTCCGCAGCCCTCAAAAAGTAAGTTTTTGATCTATATTGTAAAATGTTAGCTTTTTGGTGTAAAATGTACATTTCAAAAAATCAATCGACGAAGATTAAAGTTATGAAAGATATGAAAAAAGGGAAAAATTGAAAGAACTGTTTATTATATTTTCCATAAAGCTATGAATAAGAACTCTTGAATATGATTACGTCACACATTTAGCTGTCTGTAGGAAGCGAAATATCTGTTTGATTGTATAATAAAATAATGGAGTAATATAAAAATATTGGGTAACTTACCAACTGAATACGCTTGGCCTCTATTTGGCGATCAATATCATCGAAAGACAATTCTGTGCTGAAGAAAGACTTGAAGACACTGTGCTGAACGGGACTTGGGGCTTTGTCGAGCTTATCAATCGAATCCTTGGCTTTAGATATTTCATTGGGAGTATCGTCTCTAGCAGTCTTCTTTGCATCCATATCAATGTTTGTATCCAACTTAATCTCAGTATTATCACCGACTGTTGGTTCACTGGTTCGGTCCTCTTCTCTTCCAATGTCCTTGGAGAGTTTCTCTGTCAGATCATCAGACTTAGCATTTTTCTCATCTACCCCGTTCTCTTCTACCTTCTCTCCAGTTTTCTTCCCTTTCCCTTTCTTCGCAGATTTTTGTTTTTTCTTCCCCTGACTTTCGCCGACAGAGGTTTCGATGTGCTCTACATGATTCTCCTTCTCCGTCCCTTTTACATTTTCCTTTTCTTTCTCTTTCTCTTTCTCTTTTTCCTTTTCCTTTTCTTTCTCTTTTTCCTTTTCTTTCTCTTTTTCCTTTTCTTTCTCTTTCTCTTTTTCCTTTTCTTTCTCCTTTTCTTTCTCTTTCTCCCTTTCTTTCTCTTTCTCCTTTTCTTTCTCTTTCTTCTTCTCCATTTCTTTTTCCATCTCTTTCTCGATTTCCTTCTCTATTATGTCTGGAGTGTCGGGAAGGATGTCCTGAAGGAGAAGGTTGGAAATCAGTCTTTTCTTCAAACCGTTCGGCAAAGATTTGATCTTTTCAGCTACTTGAGCTTGTTTAGATTTTTCCTCTTGAAACGCCTGAAAGTATTTATTTAATTAACCTTTTTTGTAACTAAGACATTTTTTCTTCTTTAGAAATACAATGAGAAAAAATTAATTACCGTTTCTCGTCCTTTCTCCTCTGTAGATTCATTATAGGTGGCAAGACGGCGTTTCTTGAGTGGAGTATAGTCTGGTTCGGGACTAGCACCACCAGGATGGGCTGGACTACACCCTGCAGCAGGTTGTCCAGGACTAGAACCTGGTAGTCCTGCTCCTAGACTATCCTCACTATGATCTTCAGACATCGCTGCTCTCAACCAGCGCTTCTTAGCAGAACACCCAATATTCTTAGTGGGGGACTAAAAAAGGAATGTTAAATTAATACAATTTCAAGGGCGACCATAATAATTTTTTTTTTTGCAAATTTGCTCTGTTTTAGATAATAGAAATAAAGTAAAGAAATAAATGAGATGTCTGAAAAAAATAGAGCGAGGAAAAAAGAAAAATTCCAAGCTGAAACTTGTAATCAAAAAATGTAATTGAAAATTCAAAACAAAATACCTTCTGTCCCGCGTGGTTGGTTACAGCAGATCTGAGTAGATGGTTTGCTATACCAGGGGGAGACCTTGAACCCCGGATATAATGCCCGGATACATCGTCAACATCCTCGCTAAAAAAAATAAATTCTCATTCCAACACTGTAACTAATGAAGAACATGAAAAGAGACACTGACTGTAGGAGCGTTGCTTTTGAATAAGTCCTCCCCCCCCTAAAAATTACCACCTCCGCTTAATAATTGATGAGGGAAATTTTAACTTGACAACTTCAATTAAATAAGCTTTTATTAAAAAAAAAATTAAAAGTTAGGATAGTAAATTTAGAAAATTGAATTCAAGAACGTATGTATACACGTATTTGTATGAAAACAAATTAAATTGGAACGGTTTAACCAGGATTACGACTGTGTTATCAATATAAAATTTATTAATATTAATATATTTCTGAACATTTTTATATGATGCGCAAAAAGAGAATTAAACATTTCTAATCAAAATGTGATTTCAAAGTTTATTTTACCTGTCCACATTAAAAACCTCCTGAGCCTGAGATTTCTTGAACGGGAACTTGAAAGGCTGGTTCTCTCCGGGAGTGAGATTGGACTCGCTATCAATGTTTGGAGTTGCTCCACCCTCGTCTCCGGACATAGCTGAGGTACTGTCTCCGCTCTTGGCACGGCTTCGTCGTCGCATACTAAGGTTTCTTCGTCTCTTCCCTTTAGCGACCTTCTGTCTCTCTAGTTTTGAATCTGTTTCGGCCTCATCACCAGAGGATCCGTCGAGGTTTGAGTCAGGATTATCCTTCTTCATCGAGTTCGATCTTCGCCGTTTTCCGGGTACTCTCTCAGATCCAGACTCTCCATTCTCAGATTTCTTCCTCGCCTCTGCTCTCTCCATTGCCTCGATTGCTTTGAGAATCATTTCCATCTTCTTTTCTTCTCTGGTTTTGCTTTTATTTCTCAATCCAACATCATAGTTGATCGTATTGACTCCAACTATTAACCCGGTCTGATCGGGTAAACCTAATACAGGTTTTCCCGGAGATTTAGCGGGAGTGGTTAATCCGGTTTCTTCAGGGGATTTCATCTCCTTGGAGTAATCCGAATTACTCGTCCTTACACCAGGTTTCGCATCATCGCATACATTTGGGACTACAACATTTTCTTCCTTAATTTCGATCTTAAGCTCCTTCAATTTATCTGCTTTCATCTCGGACGGTTCCAACTCAATACGTAAACTTTTCTTAGTTTCAGGCTTAACGGTTTCCTTGGTTTCCTGAACCAATAATTCCTCTTTAACAACGATTTCCTCTTTTTTTACAATTTCTTTCACAGGCTTTTCAGGTTCCTTGGGTTTCAGATCAAAGTTTACACTTTTCTCCGAGTGTTTATCTAGAATATTGGATCTGGTCTTCCGTATACTCACAGGAGTATCATCTTCCGAGCTAGAGTCGCACAATTCTTTCTTCACAGATTCACGTTTCAATCTTCTTTTCACGTTCACGTTCTTCCTCACCTTCTTCTCATCCAGCAGTCCGTTTACCTTCTTGATCTGTCGCAGTTCATCCTGGATAGAGAGGGGAGGAAGGATACCATTTTTAGTTTCAGAGGGAAGAAGAATCTCTTGGTTCTTCTCAATGGGTTTAGTTGAGACGAGATATAGATGAAGACTTCCTTTGTCCAGGTGATGTTTAACCTGAAGCAAAACACGAGTTAAGTTAAAACCTTTTATATTTAAATTAAGTATCATTTTATGTTACCTCAGCATTGAATTCTGAAGACTTTGTTTCGGCTTTGCGACAGAATCTGCTATCGTTCCCGTAGGTTTTACTGTCAACACAAACCTCCAGGTCGGAACTAATCTTGTGAAATAGAACGTATTCAGCCGCCCGTCCTCGGCTGCTCAGTTGGCTGGCCAACATGTACTTCCCTCGGAACTCAATGACCGGGGTGTTGGCGGGAATAAAGGAGTTTGCTGTGAGGACCTTTACTCCGTTTCCGCGAAGGCTCACATTACACCTGAACATATCATATGATCAGGGTTCGTGTAACCTTCCGATTTGAAAATTAAGAAAATTCTAAGAATTAAAAATATACAAACTAAAGAAAATGAAAACTGTCAGGCAACGTACCTTTCCCTGAAAAAGAAAAAAAATATTAAAATTAAATAAAAAAAAAGAGAACACGAATAAAATAGTCAATAGTTTGAAATAATGATTTATCTGCATAATAATAATTAAGAATAAATATTTACCTAATTCCGTTGACCTCTTTTGGTTTGAACTGGTTGTTTGGAAGCTTTGCTCCCTGCAACCTTGCCCTCAGTTCTGGACTGTAGTGGTTAGTTACAGCCTCCTCGTATGTATCAATCCAAGACCTAAAGAATGAAAATACAATATATGTAACTATTTGGTTTGATTAAATATTAATCTAAATACCTCAGCGCCATCGGATCATTCTGATTTTCCTCTTCCGTCTCTACATCTGTTGCGCTCACAGACTTCCGTCGGGGATTCTTTTTCGGAGAAGGTTTCTTAACTATCCCCATCTCAGGTTTAACAGCTACTCCCGTCTCCATCTTTAAACTTCGTCGTTTGCCGGGTTTCTTGAGAACCTTCTTCTCCGGTCTCTTCTCTATCGGTCCAGACTTTCTCATTCCTAAACCTTTCCTAATACCGGGTTTACGTCCTTTAAGAATTCCAGGTCCAGAACCAGGTTTCTTCTCATCATCAGAGCTATCCAGGTTTAAGGTTTTATAGATCTCCTTCTCCCGTGCACGTTGCAGCCCTTTAGCGCGCTTCTTGTCCACTGGCCTAGGTTGACATTTCTCGCAAAGATATTCATCCGGGAGACTGTTCTTATCCAGTCCCATACAAACAACATGCTGCCAAACCCTAAGAATAATTCAAAGTTTAAATATATCTAATGATTAGTGAGGATAAAAACGATTTGCTGATTGTAAAATGGAGAGAAAAATCAAGAAATACTTACGAGCATTTGTCACAGCAGATCATAAATCCGTCATCATGTAAAAACTCGCAAATGCACCGGGTTACTGCATCCTCGGTTCCCTAATTCGTAAACATGTTAAACAAATTTTCTCAATTTGATAAATTCTCTATAATATCATGGTTATTAAGCTTAATTGAATGGAAATTGGAATAAATTTTATATTCGAGACACAATCAAATTATTATCTAAATATTTGAAACTGGATAACGAGCATGTATGTTTAAGTATATCAGCTAAAAACTACAATGAAATCTGACACCTCGACAATTTATTAAAATATAAAATAAACCAAACCTCATCTTCAGCTTCAGGAGCAGTTTCAGTCTCCTCCCCGCCATCTCGGTCAGGGGAAGGTCGACTGTCAATAGATTTGTCACCAGACATTGGACTCGTCTGCTGCAATATCAAACAATAAAAATATATTCAAGAATATTCAAAATATTTTAAATATTAGAATAATTATTTTAATATGTTTACCTCTTCTCCGAGAGGAGTCATGGGTCCTACTCCCGCCTCCTCAATGGTTTGTTTGAGCCTGGAGTGAGGTGAAGGGAGCTGGGGAACCTGAGGACCGGAGTAATGAGGGGAAGGATACGCTCCTATACTTGGACCGCTACCGCCCGCCTTATAACCAGCGATACCAAAACTGAAAGACTGCTCGTCGTTAACTTGTGGTTCCTGTGAGGGGGCGGAGTGCCCACCCATATTAACGAGATGTGAAGAAGGGGACAGCGGCGGGGTCGGGGAGCGTGGAGGGGATGGAGGCGGTACTGCACAATAGTTGTGGTCCTGTAGAGCAACCTGAAAGAGAAAGTATTAACTGAAATAACAATTATCAAGCAAGATATTTGACCTGTTCAAGTTTGTTAAAACACGCTTACTGCTACTAGTAGCAATGTATAACGACTGACGTTATTTCAGAGTTTGTTTTTAAGAGCAAATGTCATGTTGTTAATAGCAACAAGATTCCTCCCATCCTCACTACAGCTCTTAAGCTATCTCCCCCCCCCCCCTAACCATTCACCATTCATGCACACACAATACACATACCACCACATATTCTATTTTTAATATTTCTATACCTTATCCTGCAAAAGCCTGACTAAAAAATTATGAATTAATAATTTCACAAGCTCCTACACTAAAGACTGAAGACCAATCTGGTGATGAGGAATAACTTACATGAGAGAAAAAGTTTCGCCTTTCTCTGTGTCTCGGAGAAACCAGATTTCTTCGTCCTACATTAGGAGGAGAGTCGTGAACCTCGACGCTAGAAAAAAAGAGGAAAATTAGTAAATAATTAATTTTAAGATAACAAATAATCCAAATAATGCGTAGTGATTTAATACGTACTCGTCTTCTATTCCTGTAGAGGGTCTAGTCAACTTTTTAAAGGCATGAGGGTGCAGTATAACGTTGTCCGAGGGAGCGGGAGATCCAACACGGAGTTGAGGAGAACGCGGGACAGGAGATATATTCAGAGGGAGCTGAGGCAGAAAACTCTGAGGTATGTTCTGCGGTATAAGACTAGGAGAGTTTACATTATTAGAAAGAAGTTGATGTGCTGGACTTGGAGACATGAGAGGGAGTGAGCTGGGGAAGTGAGATATATTCATACGGGAAGAGTGTCCTCGGCTACGAGAAGTAGATCTGTGCGGAGACATCGGTACATGACGGGAGTAAGTAGGTTCCCTGCCGTGTGAAGCGTAGGTCTGATCCCTAACCTGCGGGGCGTAAGATGGTTCCCGACCTTGCTGGGAATACGATTGTTCCCGACCCTGCTGGGAGTAGGACGGTTCCCTACCGTGCTGGGAATAAGATGGCTCCCGACCTTGCTGAGAGTAGGATGGCTCCCGACCCTGTGGGACATAGGAGGAATCTCTACCATGCGGAGTGTATTGGTCTCTTCCCTGTTGCGTGGGAGGAGGATAGGACTCTCTTCCTTGGGTAGCAGAGGGGGCATATCCTTCTCTTTCCTGTGAAGCCTGGAGTGCATACGATTCTCTACCCTGGGAACTGGGTGGAGGGTGAAGTTGAACCACATGCTGGGTCTGTCCCAGGGACGGTGAGGAGGTCAGCTGAGTGACATGAGCAGGAGGAGGAGAAGGACGTGTATGTAGATGGGATGAGGATGGTAGAACACCTGAAGTGTGCGAGGAACTACTATTAGTTCCGTTTCCAACAATCATATTCATTTTGCATAGAGTTATACCAAAGAACTACATCCTTGATTCTCACTTTTCAATGTCAAAGTTCATTCTGAAAAGAAAAAGATAAAATTGATATAACTATAAAACATAAAATCTAGTTGACGGTTAAACCGTAACAGCTATTTAAAAACGCCAATGCCAAAAGATTATTACCACATTTACACCAATATACTAAATTGAGTATTAACATTTTTTAACAAGCCAATTTGTAAATTATAAGATTTAAGGACGCTTCAAGCCATCTATCGAATTTGAGTTTAATTTTCAGGATTTCTAAAAAAAAAATTTTCGTTGTACCAAATCAAACAAATGAAATTAATTAATTATTATGAAATTAATGAATTATTAATTAATTAAATTATGAATTCCCGGCCGACAAATGTGAGTTCCAATGAAAAAATTTAAGATCATTTTAACAATAATTCAAGAGGAACAAAGCAGATACAAAACAGGGGCGGATACTAGGGGGCGAGGGGACATTCGCCCCCCCCCCCTGAGAGATTCAGGAAGGGTCGTCGCCCCCCCCCCTGAAGTTGGAATGTTTTGTTCCTGTTTTCAGAATAGCTTCTCAATAGCATGCTTAAGGGAAAGAAACCCTAGTGAGTCTCTTCAGTCAAAAAAATGTTCGCCTGCGCCGCGATTTTTGTTCCTAATTATGATTTTTTTTGTTCCTAAAAAATCTCCCCCCCCCCCTCACTTAAATCCTGTATCCGCCCCTGATACAAAATAAAGCAGCCTTTTCATTTGTTTTAACATTCTGAATTGCTTTACTTATCCGCAAATATATCTTTACAACCATTACTAAATATAAATGTGAAGGATGGAAAACGCCAATTAAGGATTCAATAACATAACCCCTGTCAGCGATATTGTAAGTTACCCTTCATACAAATATAGCAATGTCAGATGTACAACGGTACCATTGTAACTTTAATGTGATCAAATATCTGGCAGATAACGTTATTCTCATTACTTAAAGTGTTTATTTTTGTGAATTTATCAAGTATTTCTTATAAGCAAGAAATACATGTCAATTTAACAGAAAACCCACAAATGAAAATAAACAATTTGAATAAAACGTACTTATCAGATACCGCTTTTGAGGTTACCATTGTATATCGGCCATTGTTATCTTCGCATATAGAATATGCATCCCATGTAGATAAATATTTGAAAGTAATAACTTTCTGTGAACAGCCATAAAGTGACATACGAAATCCAATAGTCGAGAAAAGTGTGCGGGAAAAAAGTTTAGCACTTAAGAAAAAGAACCATTCAAAAGACTGAAAAAGTTGTGTTTCCACCACGTAACAAAAAATATCAATAAAATATTTAAGGGTAGTAGAAAACTCTATTCTTTAAAGATATAAATTTAGAATATATTACAAACGAACTTATAGAAAAGTTAACATTAAACATCTTAACTATAACTTCTTATTAAATTGGAACACAAAAAAATCTTTAACCTTAATAAGAGCTACAATATAATTGCCGTCCCTCTGGTTCTAATGATAATAACGCTCCAAGCATTAAAGAAAAAACGTAGAAATTAAATTAGTAATAAAATATAAAAACTTACCAATACACATAAGTGCTAAACTTCTTATTAATCAAAGAATTTTCTATCAGTGATATATTTACCAAAGAAAATCTAGCGCTCGACTAATTCCAGATCAATTTAACCATTGACAACAGAGATTTTAAACTGGTTTAATATTGAGTTTAACGCATTAACACGAGGCACTACAATATTAACTCTAAAATACATGCTGCAACCGAAAAAAGAGGAATTGTTATTAAAACGTCCGAACGACTAGAAAATTTCAAGATGGCGATGTATTGAGTTGAAAATTGTCGGGGTTTCATGGACCTGGTTCAGGGACTGTAAGCCTAGAACCCAAACCATTATTCTAGTTCTTCAAGTCTAGAACCCATGGAGTCCAGTTCAACATTAGAACTTTCAAAAACTATTTCTAGGAAATTATGCGTAAATGCAATTTAATTCATCGAAATATTTCATCATATTTCGATCAAGAAATTAAAGATATAATTTTATAAAAACTGGAGTACTTAATATTAACAAATTATTGATAAAAACTCGAAAAAAAGTTGGGATTGGATTTTTGGAAGAGATTTTTTCATTTGAAAAATACATCCCCTTGTTAATAATTTTCAACAATTGTTGTATTAATAAGGCAAATGTGAATTAAAAGTTAACAAAGAAAAAATGTATATGTCGTCTTTACATTCTGCCGTGTGTGTGGAAAAGAGACTAGAAATATTTAACTGCGTCATTTTTAGCGTAACGATTTTTTTTCAATATTCAGTCTGAAATGTTAATTCTGTTGACTACTGAACATAATTGTTATTAATTTGATACCTAAATACCCGGACTGGACTTGATTAATGTGGCAAAAGTCACATTTTAAAGATAATTATTAAAAGTCAAAAATAGGATTCTAGTCTCTTCATTTACGAAGAAAGCAATCGATAAAAATCACAAAACCTCGTCAAAACATTATTAAAGATATGAAGCTGTCAATCTTCGACTTTACTATCTAATCATAAATCTGCACTACTCGCTAGTCTTATGATCTAAACATCCGTTTTATTTAAATTGAAATTTGTTTAAAATTTATTTCATGAATTGTGGAGTTTTAGGAAAACGTTTTCAGCTCCTCTGGTCCGATCCTGTTTTTCGGATCTCACATCTTATCTTTAGATCTCTTATAAATTTAAGATCACCTTGCTTACATTTCTCTTTGATGCAAGCTTACGCTAATCAATTTATGGTGAAACGCCCTATAATAAACTTTTCTGTTTATATTGATGCTTTGTGTTTTCCACTTATACATGAAAAAGTGCTATTTGAATGTGCTTCTTTCACATTTTGTCTCCAGAACTCAGAAATTTAAACTACCTCGCTTACAACTTTTCCCCATGCTGATCATTTTATTTTTGTTCAAATGTCAGCTTTTCTGTTTTTCGCTTTAACCCGAATTTAACAAGAATTTTTTCTTTTAAAAAGTGTCTTTTTTATCATAAACTACATATACATTTTACGGTATATAAATAATTTATTCTACGCGTAACCCCATGACTTTGTTTGGCTGTTAATTTTATCGTTGTATCGCTTAGAGCCAATAAAGATTTATATAATAATACTGCTGAAACATGAAAATTCATGATCAGAGATTTTTAATAAATGTATGCAGCAAATAAAAATCTCCAGCAAACTCCTAATAAGTCGAGCATGACACACAATAATTGTGCGGTGTAATCAGACCCATTTCACTAAATTATTAGTTTGATAAGCGTCTAGTTGCTTTGACAGGGGGGGAGTGCTGAAGTCCTGAAATGGTAATCAGACAAAAGAAAGGGTAACATTAAATCGTTTATTTCTTAGAAAAAGTTCAAATTGACTTCTGTTAATGGCCCTATGGTGTACAATGTTCTTAAAGCTTTCTTTATTGCTTCTCAGTTTTGAAAATAAATCTATAAACATGCCACATGAAGCGCGCGCTAGAAATAAAATTACGTTTTTGAACCTTTGCGAATGCGTGCTCCTCAAATAGCAATGAGGCGCTAGAAATAATTAGTGAACTCAATACTTCATTTTCACAAGTCGGGGCGATGAGACTGATTTTTCTAAATCTTTCGTTATTTCTAAGCATGTAATTAGTTTTGTTGTAGATGTATTGAAGTTGAACTCAAATACAAAAATCTAAACACAAAGGTTTTTTGAAAATATCTTTTGAATGGAGGGTGAGGTATTTTTTAGTAAACAAGCAGCCCGACCTTTTAGTAACTTAACTCAAATTATAAAATGTAGTTATTGAATAAGCGAATTGGATCTAAGATTCTGCTAAAATAAACTTTGCCTTGTTTCTCATTTTTTGTTGAGCAAACTAATCTGAACTCAATTTGAAAATTCAGTAAAAGTCAATACAGATGCCATGAAACCCTGATTGAAGTCAAAAATTGTGTTAAAAATGCATTAAATTAAAATCTCAGAAAACAAGATTTTACGGTGATTACTAATTGAGGTGGTGGAGATTACCAATCGAGGAGCGCGTATGCTGCAAAACTCGTTTCGGTGGTTGTGATTACTAATTGAGGACTTCTGCTTCCCCCCCTTGCTTTGTAACAATATCGAATATACTTCAGTATTTCTATAATGTCAAGTAGCTTCTTATTCCATTGTTTTCTGGTTATCTCAAAATAATTGATGAAAATCAAGTATCCTAATAAACTTATAGAAATGATGCAATAATCTAATCTGAGGCCCTTTAAATAAAACGACCTAAAGGTTAATTTTAGTCTCTCAGTGAATATCTTATACATAAAAAGGTCAAGGTATACATAATAATTTTTTATTTTCTTGTAATAATATTATAACAATTCCCATTTGTTAGCTTTCTAAATCATTGATTAAATTAGATTAACTTAATTTGGTCTTTCTCTACACCTCTTATTTGTAAATTAGATTTGAAATTCATAACATAAATATATGTTCTAAATTTGACATTCTTTTTTGCTTGACGCAATTTTTAGTTTTCAGTAAATATCTCCTTCAACGTATTTAGATTCTGTTTTCAACTTGTGACACTGATTATAGAAATTAAGGTGAAAGTCCTCTATAGTTCTTTGATATCCCTAATTTATTACAGGTGTAAATATGTTGACAAGATGTCTCCGAAATATAATATCCTCCAACCTCCGGCATAGTACTCGTCAGCTCTCCTATGTATCGAGGATAAGACTTCTGCAGAGGTTGAAGGAAGATACCGGCTTCTGTAAGGAACAATTGGGAGCTGGACAATTTCTTCTTTATTCTAAGGTATTGCAAGGTACTTTTATTTAAAGGGAGTTTTCCGCAATTTTGTAAGGAATCCTTGGATCCAACCCAATCAGTAATGGAACTAAATAATAACTATTTATAACAATATTATTTTGGTTCGCAGTATTATTAAGTTTTTGGGCAGAAATGTTCTCTTTATCTCAAGCCTTTTAAAATTTAACTTTGTCCCGAGCTTTAGCGAGGGAAAAAATATAATATAAATATCCTTCGAGATATTGAGAAAATTTAAGTCCAAAAACTTTAGAGCACGCCGTGACAAAATAATAGTTCTAAAGCTAATTTTATGAAAAGTTTGTGTACTTGTCTTATTTCAATGGCTCTTCTAAACCAAATTAAATCAAATAAGCTTTGAAACAAATCAGAAGTCAAAATGTAAAGTTGATTTCAATTTTATTGAATTTCAACTATAACAAATATTTTTTTTGAAATATCCTATTTTTTTTGAGAAAATCCGGAAACCAAATTAAAACTTTATAGCACACGTTCTATAATGTACAGCTAATTTAACTTACGATGATTATTTTATTATCAGATTATTCATTAAAAAATTCACGATGAAGTGAGTTAGAATGATAAAGTACACAATAGTTTTATAAAATTTTATTTTATTTTTACCTATGCTTTAAATCTCCTTAATCCTCCTTTCTCACTCTCACTCTCATCTTTTTGCTATCTTCATTGTTCTTTATCTTAACTTCTCAGAGACGATTTATCATACACATTGAAACAATAATGTCTTCAGTCGTGATTGTTAAGTAATCTCAAATGAACCCCCTCTTTAGTGTCCCGGCTCAGAACCAGTTAGGACAATAAAGTTATTTTTTTATTTAGTTACTATTTTTTCAGGGAAAACCTCTATTGGGACGGAGTACTAGCGGAGAAACATCTCCAATCTGGTTAAATCATACTTCTGTCGGAGAGTTGATGGATCAGAACTTTGAGCTGAACTGCGCTGTACTAGGTCTCTCGGAGACAGGGGTTCCACAGTTTGTTCTGAATATAGGTTAATCACTAGACAGATATTTATAATTGATATTATTCGTCTCACAGCCTTTTACATTAACAGGCTTATTTCATATAAAGGCAACAAAAGTATTCAAAAAAAATTGAAGGTGTTGACTGGGTTTTAATTAATTAATAAGTTAATGCCATGATCTTTTATTTTCAAAAAAGCTCTTTCAAGTTTTGTGGAAATTAAATTTTTTTTCTTTAAGAATCAATTTCAGGAGAAACAGTTGGCACTAGTAGTTTAGAGCAGGAAAACAAGGGACGGTTCACAGATTTAAGGGTTGGTCTTTTCCTGGTAGATTCTCCTACTGCACATACTCTCAGTAGGGGCTGGTCACTACTGCTCTGGAAGAAAAATACAAAATTTTGCACCAAATGCGGGAATCCACTAGGTTCGATGAGATCTAAGATGTATTCTCCTGAAATATTTTGAAAAATATGGTAAACCTCTAAGTTGATTTCATCCTAATTCATGCAGTTCTGAACCTATCCGGGAGTCAGGCCAGCTGTCCTGTGTGTTTCTCAGGCAAATAACCTTTATTTATTTTAAGCAAAATCTATTAAAACTTAGTAATCTCTAAATTAATTTTAAAAAAAATAAAAATAAAAGGTTCTGGTATTTCAGTGTACTACCCAAGTACATCTCCCGTAGGAATAGTTTCCATTTGTGATCCATCCCGGGATAGCTTGCTCCTGATCCGTCAACCCCGATACCCTCCGGGAATGTACTCCTGTATTGCTGGATTCCTGGACGCAGGAGAAACCCTTGAAGATTGCGTAAGACGCGAGGCTGCGGAGGAGGTTGGGATTGAAGTACACAAGGTTGTTTCTTACATAAAATAAATCTGCACTTAAAGCGGACGGCGGTGGTGATTTCAAGTGACGATTTCATAAGGGATATTCCTGTTAATCAGTTCCGTTTAAACTGTTGACCAAGTCATTGATGAACCACAATTTAAAATAATCAATTTTTAAAGAGATAAGCTTGGATACCTCATTCATTTTTGATTCGATAAAGCTTTTAGGTTACAGGAAACACGACTGCAGTACCTTTAACTTTAAGTTAATATCTTTTATTTAGGTTTCATACCTTAGCTCCCAACATTGGCCTTTTCCAGCCGGAAGTTTGATGATAGGCTGTCAGGTACACATAGACTCCATAGACAGAGTGTCGGATTTGTGTGTGAGAATGTCGTATATATTTTATGTACAGGGGTGGCCACTTAGTTAGACTTTATAGACCTCTGTACGGAATTTACACTGTATGTTTCCTTAGATTAATGATTCCCTTTTTTCTCATAGCCCAGTTACATTTGCCATAATTACACTTGCCGTAATTACACTTGCCGTAAATACTTTTGCCATAATTTTCTAACTCTTACAAAGTATAAATCATACATCTATTTTTCTATAAATGCGCAAAATTTTCTCATGAAAATTCCCAACTTTAGTTTTCTAACAATGCTGCTGGGAGAGATATGAACACTAAAACTGGAAGAAAGAGCTTGTTGAAGATTCAATGACAATACAATACTTTTCCAATAGAGCAGTAACTTAACCTTAGTGCTCATGAGCTGTCCCTCATTTAAATTTGATAATTGTAGTCACAAAAGTTAAAATTGTAGTTGTTAAATAAAAAAATTTATGGATGATAACTATAATTAATTGTAATTATGGCAAGTGTAACCATTATGACAAGTTTTTTAGGGAACCCTTGAGTACCCCAGGCAAAATAAAATGATTTTTATAAATAATAAAAATATAAAATTTCTAAGTGTCTAGTACTTTCCACGGGCAACGCCGGGCTCTATAGTCAGTGTTCTTATATATTTAATCCGAGATCCGACTGATCCATCAGATCAAATATCAATCTCAAAAGGAAATTACTAAATCAAGAAGGAGATATGGTCTTACAGATTATGGTGAAAATTAGGTTTTCAATTCAAGCTATTAATACAATATTTTCAGGCTGAGGCGCTACCTGGCCAGGAACCAGATCCCTGCAAGGTTGAGCTGGAGGATGCAAGATGGTTTACTAGGAATCAGGTAAAACAAAGAACCAATATTTTCTTGTTTGATAATTCATTCAGTTTATTTCCAGGTTCAGGAAGCATTTGACCGGATTAAAGAGAACCCTGGTCTGAGAACTAGAAAGGATAATGACCCAGAGAAGATATTTTTAGCTCCTAGAGGAGCAATTGCAAACTTCCTTGCTGGACGTTGGTTAAATATCCTGTGATAAAATTTAATAAAATTGATGAAAATTACAAAATATAGAAAAATATTTATTGTGCATTTGTAAAATTATTCACGAAGCAACGTTTAGAACATATTTCGTACAAACAAACAGTTCAGTCGTTAATAAATGTAATACATTATTTAACAAACATTTGATGCGAAATTTATCCGTAAGATATCCGTTGTCGTTAATATTATGTTAAGGTTTAAATTTCAATCTCTCATGAGCTAAAAAGTGAGAAAGATTAAAACATTTCAAGTTAGCTAAACATGATTATAAAAAAAGGATTAACGATGCCCATAGATGTAAAGACACAAGAGAATGCATGAATATTTTATTGACAATTTATGAAGTTGAAAAATGAAAAGTTAGCGCTGATATTTTGAATTTAATAAGTTAGTAACTAATAGGCTAGGACTGTGATGAGTTTAACGATATCTAACACATTCTTAATCAGATTAATTAACTCGAGCCTGCCCCCTCCATAAATGAAGGAGGGTTACGTGAAATTACAATTTCTATAAGTTGTTGAGTAACTACTGATGAGTTAGAAAGGCTTATTGTTAGAGTGAATTTCAACTAACAAAGAAAGAGCTGTGAAGGGTAAGGTTAATGGTATGAATTATTGAAATCGGAAACAGATACTAGTCTATTCAGCAACTATTATCTGACTATAATTACATCTGATGTATAGAAGCGAGGGAACTAGTTTAGTTGTTGTTGAGGATGAAGACCGTAGTTTGATGGATCCTGAAAGTCTAGACTGACCGGTGATATTCCTCCTAAACATTGAGGATATTATTATCTTGAGTTTATTCATAAAATTTAGAACACAGCTAGCTTAGGAGATTATAAAGGTTAAACGAATTTTGATGTCAACATTCCCAGTTTTAACATACTACTATTGAATCTGAGATGCGAGATGCGTACCTAGAATTGGTGCTGGAGATGAACCCCAGATACTGGCGGAAGGTTGACGAACCAGGAGTTGTGAGATCGAGTTTCCCAAACCTGATCTGTGCTGGGCTCCAATAGGAAGCTGATTTCCTGTAGGGTATCCGTAAACATTTCCTGTAAAATATTAGATTAGAACGGAAAAAAATAATTTAAATCTTTCCAAGAAAAATAAAAAATTGATCCGTAATTTAAGTCTAAAAATAGTGTCAAAATTTATTTAAAATATTCCGAATTTGAACTGTTACTGATTCTGGTGTCGATTTCAACCTTCCCAAACATGAGCCCAATTGTTATCTCCGACATTATCACTTATATTATGAAGAAGTTGTGATTTAAATGCATTCAAGGATAGCATCTCATCTACCCGAGTTTTAGACCAAATTTACATACGGTTACATTTCTTAGTATAGAGGGTAGGCTGGAATAGAAGATAATGTATTGAACCTGCTGGAAATGATGAAAGATAAATTCTTTCTCCCCAACCATCCTCAGGAGGATAGAATACGTCCTGCTCCAGGATCAAACTTCTCCAGATCCTTGGAGTACCAGGCATTCTATACTTCAGACCAGATATACCATTGAACAGGGCCTGTAGGAAATATAAAATGTTAAAGTCATCTCATTCTCTTTTCTTTTTAAAATGTATCATGGGAAGCAAAAAAATTGGAGACGCGTAAAAAAATTTGATATTTTATTTGATAAAAATATGGAACAGAAATTAATTAAGCCCCTCCTCGCCCGCCTATTTTCAATTTTCATCTTAAATGTTAAAATAATTTCACTGACCCGAACCGTTGCATAAGGAAGTAGTCCATCGGAGTTAGTCGGAACCTCTTCCACCTCTCCGTCCTCCTCCCGACATATCTTCACGAAATATCTCTCCATCAACCCTCGGCCTGATTCAGGTCTTAATCCAGAGCTAGCCTACAATCAGTCAGTGTCACCGTTTTCAAGTAAGGCGAAATTTTAATCTATATTTAAAGACAAGAAAAGTGATGATAAAAATAAGAAAGTACTTTAATCAATACAAAATAATCCTACCTTTTCCAGAGTTTCGACTCTTTTGTCAAGAGAGTTGATGGTGGCAGTAGTTTCTTGAAGAACCTGGAGCAGGGTCTCAACTGCGGTGTTCAAACGATCCAACTTCTGCTCCGTGAGTAGTCTATACTCGGAGCTAGACAAGGATTCATCTACAACCTTGATACTGGGAACCTCAGTTTTTCTGGTTTCTGATCCTTCATATTCAAACCTACGGTTGGATTTGTTCTCATTCAGCTTCATGGAATCTGCAACTTCTCCAGCAACACGCTTGGAATAATCAAACTTAAACCATTTTGATGGATATTTCTCTAAAAACATTTCTGGAGCAGTATTGGTCTTGAAATCAGAAAATGACAGCATCTCTTTTGCTTTCCTATCCCGAGCTAGATATTTATCCAGACGTGAGGAACAATCTGGATCATAAACAAAAACACCGTATTTCTCTAGCTCGGAGAAAACCTTTTTCTCAAATGTGTCTTTGGTTATAAATCCCTTCCTGCATAAAACCCAATATATCTTGATTTGGTCCAATGTTTCAACCCATGAACCATCAAAACGTTTCTCACTGAGCAACAGATTATCGTACTCCAGGAGTTGATTCTCCAATCCGAACTCCGAGAATCCAGAAGAAGGTTCTGATTCCACGAGTTCATGCGCCTTCTTCCTGATTTTCTCGTAGAACTCCTGGGAGAAGGGAAGGAGAACTCCTGAATGAGGAGGTTCAGATAACCAAGCCCCTGCCTCATCTACAACATTTTGCCAGGCCATCAGGGCAACATGGCAACTAGTATCCTTCTCTCCATATCCAGATACAGGAACGGAGTGAACCCGAACCTGGTCAAAAGGACGCAGAATATCCGGGTCCAGATCATAGTTGATTGAACAGCTGCTGCTCCCAAATGAAACAGCTTGATGCGCCAACACTTTGCAGAACTTGGTTTGAATGATAAAAAAATCTCCTAGGTTTCCAATCACTATCCCCTCCCCGGAGTAGAGCTTATCTCCTAGGGTAAGATTCATGAAGGTTCGTTGTGAGATACAGGACGGAGTAGGGTCCTGAATATCCTCGTAGGTGTTTGGATCAAAGCTTGCTAGAGTAACCTTTAGAATGTTGTATACACTCAAAATACAAGTTTTAAATGTACTTGAAGAGTCCAGGATGGATGCCCAAGAAGTGAGAAGATTCTGTAAATGTTCTACTATCTTCTCATCATAAGCATGATTTTGATAAAACTTGGTTATTGTATTCTCTAATTGTAGTTTATCAACCTTACAATCCTCCCAGATAACTGCTGCAAGGAACGCAAACATCTCCTCCGACTCATCCTCTTTGTCCCTCCAGTACATATCCAGGCTACTGATTACATCGTATCCTTCCTGGAATGCGTTTTCAAGCTCTCCGTCTTTGAACCTTTTCATAATAGCGATTACTTCTGTTGAATTGTAGACAGTGAGAAGATTAGATGGAATTTTTAAATCATCATTAGTCTTCTCCATATTTCTGGGATATTCCTGGTCATCGGTAGATCCTCGTGAGCTGCAGAAATTCCAGAGGATCTCACTTAACATGATAACAGAAATTCCAACCGGAGGGTTCAGTTGAAGCTTACTAAGTTCAAGATTCCACTTCATAATTCCTCCAACCTTACAACTCATGTAAATACTTTCAAGCTTCATTAAACTGATCTTTTTGTTTATAAGAGTGAGACGAACTCCATTTATAAAGTTTGAATATTTAGTTTTCTCCATGTACGAGACAAGTTCGGCAAACTCATCCTTTGGTTCAGAGTTAGTTGGAATATTTCGCTGCGGAGAAGCTGATCCGTTCCTCAGCGGAATATTTGCTCTCTCAAATATGAACCCACAGAGACAGGTTGTCAAGATCGGAACAAATTTTTCAATTTTTTTACACGATACCGGGGTGTACTGTTTGACCTTTAAATCCTTGTTGTTTCCGATAAATATGTTTGTTTCCTCCAGAAGGGACTGATTGGTTTTCTTCATAAGAAATGATTGCATTTTTGAGTTGAACTCGCGGTTTCTAGGTTTAGTTGAGAGACGGAGATGATCACGATGCATGGAGAGTAAATCCTCAAGTTTTATTCCAGCTTTTCTTAGAATAGTTAACACACGGAGAATGAATGAATTTGTTTCTTTCTCCTTTTCTTTACACGCCACAAACTCAGATTCTAGAGTGGATAAAATGAGACCTGCAAACTTTTGGGATTCAGATTTACTCTTCTCCTCTTCTAGTTCTACCACCTTACATTCAGTCAGAGCTAGAAACTGGGCTGAGTCGGATTCCAACCCGGATAGGATGGATTTACAATCTCCTCCTCTCTTAAGGACCCAGGACTGGAGCGCTGGAAACTTGTAGAGGATCGAACCTATGTTCTGCTCCGAACACTTAAGCATTGAATTAAACCAGAATATTGCAGATTCAGGAAACCTGAACATTTCGTTGTAAAATTCAAGTTTTAACTTCTCTGTTTGGGTAGATCGAACTTGCTGGGTGTTGATCCACTTCATAAAGTTGGAAACCTGGAGTTCAACCTCCGACGGAAGGGGTTTCGAAGTAAAACTCTCAAAGACCGGAGTCTCCGGAGTAATATCGTCCAGCAATCCATCTTCAGCAAACTGGAAGGATCTACGAAACTTGATAAATTCTCCAATAAACTTGTTTCCCGTGCTAACATTGACTCCGTAGGATTTAAAAAATTCTTGCAAGATTTTAGTTTCACAGGATTCTTCAACATTGTAAATAATATCGTTGGTAAGACACTCAATACTCTTATAGGGTAGGTTAGGTAGAATAACAATGATTTCTCGGTGCAGATAATCATAGATTTCAGAATAGGTATCGTAATATTTATCCAAATCTTCAAGGTTGATCTCATGGTTTGATTCTCCTCTAGAATGACCGCTATCGTTTGAATCCCCAGAGGCCGGACCGTGGAAATCCTCGTTATAATTCTCCTTTGTGGCTTTCGCCGGATCGAAGTCAGGAAAGGCTCGGATGACAACAAACTTTCCTTTCTTTCCACTCCTTTTATCATTACTCAGAGCTATTGCAAGATTTGCATCTAATTTCAGATTTGATTTAACATCTTGAAACGAACCCTCAAAATGCCGTTGGTCCAAAGTAAAACGACCGTAACCGTGGATAGAAACAACAATTTCCTCAGAGTTAGGGAAAGATTCAACTTTTCCCTTTTCCACAAAATCTGCAGTTTCTTCAACTTGTACTACGGAAACCGCAGCAACCGCCTGGGCGAAGTTTGATGGAGCAATTTTCTTTTGAACCTTAAAGGAGATGTTTTTGTCAAGTGATGAGTTGAGCTGTTTCAAACTTCCCTGTAGGGGTTTCTGCCGAACCACATTGAAAACCGGAGAACTTGATCCGCCCTGGTTCTCCAGAGACGGAGCAGGACTACTAACATTGGGACTTGGAGAATTCGTCTCGGTTAAATAATCTTCCAGATATTCGTCAAGTTTGAAACTAGAGGGAGGAGAAATATAATTAGGTTGGTTCCCGTCTCCCTGCCAAACAGATTTAGCCTGAAACCTGCAAGATTCTACCAATCCTTGAGGGATCTTTCTTCCGGTAAATACAACCTCGCTCCCAACCTTCAGTTTCAAAGGCAAGTTATCATCTTTTCCGGATTTTCCCAAACAATCCCTGCCACCGAAGCAGCCGGCTGGACAGAAGCACAGCCAAACACTGTCTGAATTAAATAGAACGTATTCCGAAACTTCTCTGCCCTGTGTACTCAGCTTGATCTCAATAAACCCATTGTGTCCCAGTCCAGTTGTATTGGTTATATAAGAGTGGATTGTTCCTCGGAAACTTTGGATGGAAGATTCATTACAACTACGTTCAAACTCTTCCTGAGATGTTTCTCGGTCGAAAAATAGATCCGCCTTGTAAAGTGGAAGTGGTCGAGCGGAGCTAACGGATTTCTGAGGAACTGAAACCTGTTTCTGAAACCATTTTGTCACCTTCAGCTTGTGATAAGCACCAGACGGATCTCGTACAAAATGTTGATTCTCGTCTTCTAGAAAGTTCTGTCGGTCGATCTCGGATTTGAAGTAAACTATCGCCCAGCCGTTCCAAGCGCTATTCTTCTTGTTCTGGAAGCAGGTTGAGTTTTCTGCATCTACTCCTCGCCAACTAGTGATAAGGTTCTTGAACCTAAACATCATATATACACTGCGTTTCAAGTTATTATGCAAGTACGTTTTTTGAAAATTCTGACTCGGAAATTAATTTTTTCAAAATCTTCATTTTACAAAAAAGTTTTCCTTCAGGTTTTTAAATGTGTGTGCTAATTTTTATTTGATTGAGTTGTAAACAGTAAACACAAAGAGTAAAATTGTACTTTTACAGTGTTACAAATTATTATGCAAGTGGAACTTGGTAACCTAAATCACAGAAATATGTGAAATAAAGGTGAACTGGAGTATAGGGTAAAGAACATAAACTATAGAGGAACTTGCTGCCTGTACATATACATTGAAAATTTTGAAGATTTGAAACCGAGATCACTGTACAGTTCATTATTTTGTAAAGGTTGAAAAAAATAGTACTGTATCATGTATTTTGAATATTTCGTCCAGGGCGACGCGTTAAAGATTGCAAAAATCTGTGACAAAGGTGAAAAAAATTAGAAATTTGCCACTCCTGACCAAATGACACAAGTAAAAAAAGTTTAACAAGCCACATCACATGATAAGCTAGACTTCTCAAAAGTCGTCTTTACAAACTTGTGCCGTGTGATTCTTAATGGCCCAGACGGTTGGGCTAAAGTTTGGGGATTAAATAGCAATAACACCCCAGGAGCGTAAAAGGAGGCAATAGATGGGAGAGGGGATCATCAGGAAAGAGATCAGCTGACCAATCACTAAAACCTTTTAAATTTATCGTTGTTTTTTGAAAAATTAAGTTTTACATCAAGTATAAGTATTTTAAAGTAATCTGCATAATAACTTGAACACTTTCATAAATATTTTCAAATTTTTTTAGTCTATTTTGCAAAAAAAAAATTATTCAAATGTAAAATTTATTTTAAAAATGTTTTTAATCATAAAAAGTCAAATTTTTGTAAAAACTATTTTTCTAAATTTTTCTTCCTTTCCCTTTAAACCTTAAAACCCCTATTTGCAAATAACTTGAAACGCAGTGTTTTTAAAGATACGGAAAACCATGATGTTTGTAATTTGGTAGGTTGAATTTTAATTGAAAGGACGGAATTAAAAAATTTTGTTAACACACAACTACTTATTCAAATCAAGCAATATTCAAGAACATTTAATTTCTTCTTTTTCCTCGTGAATAAATATTTTAAGATTTTCAGAAAACTTAGAAAATGAGACTTTAACATGCTTTTTATCCTTATTAATACTCTTCTTTAGTTCTTTTCTTTTTACTATAAAAAATATCTTAAACAAATCTAATTTTGGGATAAAAAAAATTTTCAAGAAAATCTTGAACAAATCTTACTTTTGATCTACAAGGAGAAGGGTTGGAACGTTACGCACATACACCGCCAGAGGGTTTTCCGACCCAGAATCTTCTAATCCGACTCCATAGGACATTCTTTGCTTCTCGAGCGGGGGATAAGGTAAACCTGGAGAACTCAAAACTAGATCCAACCCCTTTCATTCTTGACCCAGACATGTTGCCATGTTTAATTGTCCTAAATTCAAACAAAATTAAAAAAGATTTCCACATAATATTAGACCACTTTGCACCTTTTTTAAAGTAATAATTTTAGCGTTTAAAAGTTGCTTTTTAAGCCGCCATGTTCTTTCATAATTGTATTTTAAAACTTACAATTTTGTGGATTTTTGTCAAAATTGACAAATTTAAACTGTTTTTAAGCACAATTTTTTCTTTTTCGAAGTGACTTCCCTGACTTCCCTCGCGTCATATGAGTTGCCACAACAACAAAAATGGGCCCGATCGTTCAGCCGTTTCGGCCGGTTGGATTTATTGGATACAAACAAATAAATAATTATCAGTTTTAATGTATTTTATGCAATAATATCCTTCTAAAAATAATTACCTTTTTAAAAACTGAATTAATGAAATACACAGATTTAGTTTAGAAGTAAGACACGGTTGCTGGGTACTTAAAAGGTAGCAATTAATAATCTGAAACAGAATAATAATTTAAATACTATACCAATTTTCAGAAGAGTAAATTATACAAGCTATTTTAGAAATGCAAAAATACCAACAGGAATTAACCAAAGTAAAATTATTGAGATTAACAGTCTAAAGACACATCTGAGTCGACATCCGAACTTTCCTTGTCGTTTGTATCATCGTCGATAAATATTTCTTCAATGTCGCTGTCTGGTGAGACAGGTCGACTCTGCTTGGGTTTATTCGGAGATTTCTTCTTAAACATTGAAGAGCTGAGCCGGAGAGGACCAGTAGGACGCTTGACCGGGGGGATACGAGGAGGGGCTGGAGGACCACTTAATCCTTTATAGAAATAGAAATAAGATTTTCATAATTATATAATTTCATAACTTCCGAATTTGATTTTAAACTTCCTTCTTCGTAATTCGCTCATTTTTTGTTTCTTTTCTATTACTTTTATTTTTGAGTTTCCTTATTTTCTTCTTAAACAAAAATTATTGCCATTTAATAAAATTTATCGTCCAATGTTTTCTTATTAACTTATTACAAATCTACCAGTTATTTGAATAGAACAGAGCTGGCTGGGATCGAAGAACTCTTTATCTCCGAGAACTGCCTCTCCATTCACAACAATCTCTTCAACTGCAATTTCTTCATCGTCACCATCCCCATCCCCACCTTCATCAAAATTATTTATATTGTATCAAATAAATTAAATGTTGCTTTTCAAGTCTCCATTTTTTCTTCTCAATTGTTTTGTAAAACTCAAAATTTTGCGAATTTTTTTGTCAACATTAATTTAGGAACTTTTAAAAAATCGGTGTATTTTTCAAGCACAATTTTTTTATTTCAAAGAGCCATAAACCTTCACTGGCACCATGCCAATAGCCTGATCGGCTAAGCCGTTACTACTCAATGTTTCTCGATTTTCAAAAATTTTCTAAACTTAAAAAAATAATCTGAATTTCTAAAAAAAACTTAAATTTTTCTTGCTGTGAATCAATATTATTGGTTAAAAAAAGAATTGCTGAAGTGGCCCATAACCCATATACATTGAAGATACATAGAACAGCTCTTCTGTCCACACCAACCCCTTTCTCTTTTATTTAATTCATATGTTACCTGGAAGTTTCTGTTTCTTCATGTTTCCCTTTTTCTCAGTATTCTTAATTTTTCTCTTATTGATACCACTGGCAGGGGTTCCGTTAATACCACTGGCAGGGGTTCCGTTAATACCACTGACAGGGGTTCCATTGGCGCCATTAGCTTTCATTGCTGGTGTGGTCGAGCCAGATTTGGTCTTCTTCTGGGATCCGGTAGAAATACGTCCCGGCTTGAATCGGTCCATACTCTCTCCTGGGAATTGATCCAAGTATCCCTGAACCAGGGCGGAGTCAAGGAGTTCCATGTTTTGTTTTGTTATTCCGTAGATTTTCCTGAGTTTAGCGACCATACCTCCAGCTCCCTCTGCCGTCATTTTCTTCTTGTTCTTCATCCACTTCCTCTTCTCATCCTCCAGACATTTCTGATAGATCTTGAGTGTGTCGAAAGCTTCATGAATATTCTCGTCGATAAAGTTTTCAATTTTACTCTCCTCCTCTGCCACCTTCTTTTGCTTTTGCTCCGCAATCTTTTTAGAGATTTTCTTTGTGTCTTTCACTTTTTTTCTGTCCTTCCTCGATGAATACCATTTGTATATTGAATACATTAATGCCCTAAACATTTAAAATAAGAATTCTGGAAAAAATCAGTTAAAGATTCATGAGAATTATTTTTGTTTCTTTAAATCTTTTTTTTTGTTTCTGGAAGAAGATATTAATTAAAATCAAATAATACCGATATTTTAAGCTATGAAAATACTTAAAAATTAGTAACTTACCGTTGAGGAAATATTGGCTTAGGATCACACTGAAAACAGTCCCAACGATCACAGTCGTTGATCTCTGTGAACTTCTTTCTACTAAAGTTTCTGATTATACACTGCTTGCAGTACGCACTGGTACACTTGTCACAACAAACCATCTCACCACCGTTAGCACACCACCTGCAGTACAGTACAATTAGTAAAGAGTTTTGGTGAAGTACTGCAAACAACGGGACTGTACGACAAAAAATACCAGGTACTCGAGTCTTATTTACATTAATAAAACAAGTTCCTGAGATGAGTTTATAATGAAATCATACAGCATTGCTTATCGCCTAGTATATATAATACATAAAACGTACAATTTTTGTGGAAAAGTACATTCTGAGATATCTTAATATCTCACAGTAACTTTTTAAAAATCCTTTCTTTCGGTCCTTTGTTCTATTTATTATTAATTTAAACCATAGGCAACTGAAAAAGGTCTTAATTAAGGGGAATCTGATTTTTTATAAATTAAAAAATATTTTTGAGGGGAAAAACGAGTAAGTCGTCTTATATGTTATATTTTTTTGTATCCCAAAACTTTCAGACATAATTTTATCTATCGACATGAAAGAGATGCCAATCAAAGCAAATGGGCCGCGTTTATTTTTTTTTTTTACAAAATATTGAGATTTATGAATTAAAATGCATAAAAGAAGGTTAAATAAAACCTGCAGTAGCAGTCTGACCCCTGGTCATCCTTCTCCCAGACCCCGTCGTCTTCGTAGAAATATTTACAGCTTCTACACACAGGAACACCAAGGTCGGGATGCCGCATTATATTATTTCTCTGATGATGGTTGACCTAGGGAACAGAAAAACTTCAATTATTCTCGTCAATCAAATTGAAATTCTTATTTAAAGGGTATGTCGACAAAATTTGTAGTGATCCTTCATCCTATTCACAATGTAAACTTTGTCCAGCCAAAAAAAAAATCTAAAAAATGAATCATTACCGTTTTATTCGAATGAAAAAGTTCATAAAATATGATACTTTAAAGTGCTTTAGTAAAACAAAAGCAAAAAATGTCCAATAAATATTTGATTTAATAATGGTTTTAAGAACAATAAAAATTAGAAATCTGTGGATTTTTCTTGAAACTCTATACAATAAAATTTCTTAACCTGTTTCCAGCAAGCAGTACACTGTACACTCAGCTGTTCAATAGAATCTGGATTTCGTGCATTTTCTTCGTAAAACTTTTTCTCATCTTCACTTACACTCTCGAAGAACTGTGAATCAGGTACAGTCTATAAAATACATTTTCAGGTTTGTATACTTTTGTACAACTAACTAGTTGATCTGGGGGAAAAAATGAAGTTCATCATCAGTATCAAGTTTTTTTTTTATTTTATTTAATTTTCCCCTAAAAATCATTAATTTTTCCAAATTGCGAGAGAGAGAAAAAAAAACATAAAAATGTTGTCCTCAGTGAAAACAAATCTAATTTCTGGGGAAAATATAATTTTCAAAAGGGGGGAATGGTTTTTCAAGACAATAAAGACCCCTCAGAAATAATTTGCAGTCCCCTTTAACCTAAAGATAACGAAAGAAGGGTTATTAGTAACAAAGTAAAAATTATTTTGTTTTAAAAAAGTTAAACAATTTCATGTTTTTCATGAAAAATATAGATTCATTAACCTCAGCCAAATAGGCTTTTTCTACAAGATAACTTAAAAACTTGAAATATTCTAATAGTAGATATTTGCATAGTTGTGGTACTTACTCATTTTGATTCTGAAACGGTGAAAAAGAAGATTGCAAAACTGAAATATGGCTCCAGTTCAGGACCCGATAAAATTTCGTTGCGATTTTTAATCGATCATGTCGATAATTTGTCTCTCCCATTGTCAATAATTTTCACTAAATCTTTGCAATCTGGAATAGTTCCATAAGATTGGCGCGATGCTAATGTGACCCCCCATATTCAAAAAGGGATCAAAACACAGCACTGATAATTACAGACCGGTTTCCCTGACGACTCTGACATGCAAAATCATGCAATCTAGAATGAAAGACGACATGTTGGATTACCTGCTGAGGCAAAACTTACTCAATTCATCTCAGTATGGATCATGCCAAAAAAAATCTTGTGCCACCAACCTCCTCGAGTTTTTGAAAAGATAACTGAATCTCTTTGTTTACGGTATTCCTGTAGATGTCCTGTATCTAGACTTCAGCAAAGCTTTTGATAAGGTCCCCCACATGAGATATTAACTGCCTACAAACAGCTATCAATAAACTTATAGAACGGGCTGATTGCTGGTGCATAAAATTTAATGTTGGAAAATGTAAAATTATGCACATTGGTAGAAAAAACATCAAACATGTATATACAATGGCTGGTCAACCTCTACAAGTTGTAGACAAGGAAAAAGACATCGGTGTCATTATTAGTGATAACCTGAAACCTTCAATACAATGCGCCAATGCTTCTAGGAGAGCATATGCAGTTCTAACCCAGATCTCAAGAGCATTTATGTATAGGGATAAGAATACTTTTCTTTGCTTGGAATTTGCAATACCAGCATGGTCACCTGGCTGGTTACTGACATAGAGATTTTAGAGAGAGTTCAGAAGAGAGCTGTAAGAATGATAGTTGGATTACAGGGCAAAACATAGGAAGAAAAATTATTTGAACTTGGCCTCCTTGGCCTGACAACACTCGAGACCCGACGGTAACGTTATGACTTGGTGCAAACTTTCAAAATCCTCAATGGGTTTAATAAAGTCAAATCTTCCATTTGGTTCCGTATGGTGGATGATCATCAAACTAGATTGACAAGAAATTCCTCCTACAATAAGAATCTAATTGCGACAAGATTTAAAACAGATAAAAGACGAAATTTTTTATTTGTAGAGTAGTTTCCCTCTGGAATAATTTGTCATTTGAGTCCAGAATGTGACTAGTTTTAACTTAACTGGAGAAGATTGACATTTGAACTACCTTTCTGTGCTAATAGGAAATGTGTCATGTAGCAACCTGAAGAATATTTAGCGGAGAAGCCACATAGTTCCCAGAGGACACCAAAGATGTTTGCACCATGGACCAATAGTTCTACTGCAAATCAACACACAAATAACCCAAGTAAGTAAGTGAACATTTCCCGATAAAAATGAATAAAAAGGATTACCTTTGGAACAATGTCGGGTTCAACGGAATCATCAACAGTTATAACATCCTCGCCATCTTTATTTTCTTCTTCTTCTTTCTCATTTCCCTTCGCCGCCTTCTGGACGTGTCCTTTCTTTTTTTCGCCAACAGAGCAGTCATTTGATTCACCATTCTTTTTACAGTCTTCCGAGGCCGCCTCATCATCATCCTCGAGAATATGGACATCCTCGTCTACCTCAGCAACCTCATCATCCTCGTCAATTTTAGCAACCTCATCATCCTCGTCTATCTCGGCAACCTCATCATCATCCTCCACCTTCTCAACCTGAAAGATAGACATCTATATATAAATTTAGCTTGTCTGTTTGGGTGTCTGTTTGTTTGTTTGTATCCAATAAACGTCAAAACGACTGAACCGATCGGGCCCAAATTTTTTTTGGGATATCACGTGACCACAGGGAAGGTTTATGAATGATAAAAATTTTAAAAAATGTGTACTAAAGGTTTTTAATTTTGTAAAAAAATTTAATTCTTGAAAATCCGCGAATTTTTTTTTTAAAAATCCGCAAAATTTTTTTCATCTTTGTTTTAAAATGTTAACAAAAAGAACATGTTCACAATTTAAATAGAAGATGGGCGCGAAGCGCCCTAAAAGCCTAGTTTACCAAAAAAAAGATACAACGATAATATGGATAGTAGATAACAGAACATCCCTTAGTTGGGTCTGAAAGTCAAGTGGGGGTTTTTCTGCAATGGGATAAAATACAAAACTAACCTGACTTGATGAATGCTCGTTGTCTCCCATTCTTTCTGAAAACATTAAAAATTTATATTCTGTAAAATTTATTGTTTAGAGCAAGGTGAAAGTGAAAGTGGGTAAATTATGGTTTGAATACAGACATTATGTGGCTTGCCTTGGCCTACCCTCATTTAGGTCTAATATAAAAATATATATATCTGACCAGTTAACATACTGTAAACATTTTATATTAAAATATGTAAACATTTAACGCAGTATTTATGTTCCTTTATATAAAGCATACAACCAATATATATCAAGTATTTCCTCATAAGTCGTAGAAAATATATTAATTTGAAAAGAAAAAATGTAAATTCTGTCAAATGAGCGATATTTTTAAGAAACTCCATATAAACTAAAATGTGAACTATGAATATTCTTAATCATTTTTAGTTTTAAGTTATTTATAATAAAAATATAGTGAGAAACATAAGAAACAAATGAACAAAGCAGAGGAAACGTCTGCACGTTCCAAATCCGATTCTGCACGTTTCAATTTAGAGTTTGCGACGGCAAGTTTATTGTATATTTCCTTTCTTTCCGGACACAATGACGAATCTTCAAGTTGTCCTGTATTGTCATTATACTGACTAATTACAATACTATTCTGAAATTTCTCATCTATCATCTTTTGTCTCTGACTTTCAGATTCCCTAAACCTTTCATTAAGGTCTTGATAAAGTTGCATTTCTCTTCCTATTTTTTCCTTCAATAATTTGTTAAGTCTAGAGCTCTTCTCACTTTCATCTTTTGCTTCAGATAGTTCAATCTTCAGGAGCTCGGCATTGTTTTCCATAGAGTTTAAGTTGATTTGTAGTCTGTTGTTAAAGCTCTCAGTTTTCTGAAGGGTTTGATACAGTTCGGAAGTAAATGTTTAGTCTATTGTTAACGCTCTCAGTTTTCTGAAGGTTTCCATTCAATTCTGAAATTTTCCACCCTTGAGCTTTGGATTTTTTCTCCAGACTGGAAACCTTTCTTATAATCATTTGTCTCTGACTTTCGGATTCCTTAAATCTTTCATTAAGGAAAGTGTTAAAATTCTATTTTTACCTTTACTTCACTTTGTTTCATTTCCTCAAGATCATACTGTAGTATCAAATATCAATGTATTCTTACCTCAAGAAAACATTTGGTCATTCCTGGATATATATGTGTATACTTCTCATAATTTCTGAAATATAAATCATTGTTTTGTATTTAAGTATTTTTAAATTCTGTCACAAAAGCAATTTAATAAACTATTACAAAACATATTTATCTTTGAAAATATTATTATAATAATCTAATAAATCTATTTAATACAGTAAATATATCCATTGCAAATAGAATGTGTCAAATTTACGTTTTTGTAAAACATGATTACTTCATAGCATTGTAAATATAAAGAAATAAAAATTTTAGAATAAAATATAAAATAATTTTGACAGGTGTTACTAAATCTAATACAACTTCTGTCAGAGCAATGAAGCAAATATCAATTTTTAATAAAAATTCTATATTAAAAAATATAAATATATCTAAAATACTTAATTTCTTTCAGGTCCCACAACGTTACAAGCATTCAGTTTAAAACTTTTCTATAAATAGAAATCAATTTCTGTTTGTTTCTTGTTTTTCATTTAATAAAAAAAATACCAACACTAAAAAAAGTCCCCAAATATGAAGACCCCAGACCGCCAATGGGACACAACACAACAAAGCGAAAACAGCAATTTCTTGATTTCTAATTACATCAGATTGAAATATAATTTTCTGGCGAAGTTTATTATTTTCGTCGCTTAATTCTTCTTTTTCTGATTTCAGTCTTATAATTTCATCACAAGGGTTTTCAGAAGGTTTGAGATCATTTACATCATATCTGTTGGAGATATCTTGGATAATATTCACTTCTTCGTTTAATGAACCTTTGGTTGGGTACTGGTCATTGTTTTCATCATTTAAGATTTTGAGATCCTGAAAACCCTTCGATGGAAAATAAGGAACAACATAATCCTTCTAAGGCAAACCTGATGTCTCCAGATTCCGGAGAAGATTACATGAATTCATCGCAAATTGACTTGTCCTATCAAGTGACGGTAAATCATCAGTTAAATAATCGTCATGATGTTTGATATGAACCTCACAAACGTCCTGGTGGTGGCAATTATCCTCAATAACGTCTTTGTGGAGGGAATTATCCTCAATAACATCCTGATGGTAAAAAGGATTATCAATAACGTCCTTGGGGGAGGAATGGTCCTCAAAAACGCCCTGATTGTTGGAATTGTGATCAATAACGTCCTGATAGTTGGAATGATCATCAGTAACGTCCTGGTTGTTGGAATGGTCCTCAATAACGTCCTTGTGGCTGGAATGATCATCAACAACGTCATCCTTCAGAACGTCCTGGTGGTGAAAAATGTCCTGTTGGTTAAAATTACTCCCAAGAACGTCCTGATTGTTAGAAGTATCACTAAGAACGTCCTGATGGATGGGCAGTTCTTCACGAAGTACCATTGATTCGGCTAGATTCACATTTTTGCTCAGAGGGTTGAAGGGTGTGTGAAAGTATGCTGGTTTATTTTTCTCTTTATTAGAAGAAATATCACAGATAGGCAAAACTGATTTAGGCAGTTTTTCAAGTTTCTTCAGTTTTTTATTTTTTAAAACAGCATTCTGTTTCTCATGTAGAATTGCGTTCTGACCGTTACTATTGTATTTAGAGGTAATTAAATGTACATGTTTGCAAAACTGAGTTAGAAGTCGTATAGAAAAATTTGTTCTACATTTGTTGTCAAGATTCTGGAGAATTGTTGGTTGAAACAGCTTCCTATTAGTAGTACGAAACAGGTGGAAACAATAAACTAGTGTAATATTTGACATTTCAAGACTTTGTAACAGAGAACTTGCGGTTCTAGAACTCACGCCATTGTTTGAGCAAAAGTTTGAAAACTCTTGAACCAGCTTAGCATTGTCCAGTGTTAGTCTAGTGGCTCCAAGGTCATAAGAATCGTCTACATGTCCGACAGACACCGATTGCGGTTCATATTTTTCGTCTGGGTTGGCTGAAGATTCAGATACTGTAACAATCTGAATAGAACTACTATACATGGATGTATCCTCCAAACATTCTTCATCACTACTAAATCCGGGAAATGCATCAAGACAATGGTTTTTCACCACTTCTTCGACTTCAGCAGCAACCTTCTCTACTACGGTTCGATCAGCATCAACGGAAACAGGAACTGGAAGATCTGAAGCAGAAGACTGATCAAACGAAAAGGAAGCTTCTTTTTCATTTTCTGGAAGTATCGTATCTTTAGACTGATCTATTTTTGTTTCTTTTGTTTCAGTTTTAATCTGAACAGATCCTTTATCTTGACCCGCATCATAATTTATCTCCTGTGGTAAAATTTGGTTCTTTTCCTCCAAATTTGTGTCCCTCCTCTGAATTTTGCACTCCCTGTTGGTTAAACTGATAGATTTTTTAATTCCAAATTTTGGAACAAAGACATAATCTTCTCCTGGTGTTACTTCTACAACTTGAAACTGTCGGAAATAAACCCGTTTCAAATAAATCAAACACTGATCGTGCATGTGTTTGTTCATAAAATATATTTTGACACACAATTTTCTGTTTTGATCCATCCACCTTTCATATTGATTAAAACCAATGAGGCTCTTCCAGGCTATGACGGAGTTGGATTGGTTATTGTATATCTGCCAGGGAAGATTTCGGACAATTATACAACTTGTTGGATTGCGCCCTCCCCACATTTTGATCTAACACCTGAAATATGGTTTAAATATTTAAATCAGAAATCAGAATAGTAAAGCGCTTATATTAAACTAATACAAAAAACACCAATCTCAGAAAATCTACAACAGAAAAGAATCGGTAATTTTATAATATACAAGTTTTGGACCCCTCAATTTTGTACATGGATCTCATGTAACACATGGATATAATTGGGCATGTTCCCGAAGCGCCCGCCCCCTAGCCTATCCTAGCCGTGGTGCTCGGCCCCTAGACTGTCCTAGCCGCAGCACTCGACCCCTTGCCTGTCCTAGACTCAGCGCTCGGCCCAGAAATTGTCTTAATCTAACCATTAGTGTTAAACTACAAATTACAAAAAATGAATCTGGGCCGGGCGCTGCGGCCACGGGTTAGGTTAAGTTGATACACTTTCTGTGAGATCCATGTACAAAATTGATAGGAGAGGGGGGGTTCCAAAAATCGTTCTCTAGGAATATACCGAATACCGACTAAGTTTAAGTTCCCTCTGGCCAATTCCTGTATGGGACATGTGAAAAATATTAGAGCAAATAAATGCTAGGTTTTTAGCTGTAAGTGTATTTTGTAGTCGCCCGCAAGAAGAGAAAGCGCTTGAATAAAAACTGACAAAACAAGTAAAATAAAAGCGCAATACGCGGTATTCATGGGACCGTTCATAAATTCTCGGACTCCTCGGAGACTAAAGAATTCCATGAATAATTAAACTAATGATCGTTTTAACTTTTACAACTAATATTCGTTTGGACTAACGTTAAAATTTAATACCTCCATAGTAGAAATTGATCAATTATTGATTTAAGCATTAAAGTAAGCTGCAGATCAGAAACTATTTTTTTTATTAAAAGAAATTGAACATTATAGTGCAAATGATCACACAAATCGCGGGCTGTATGAGCTGTAGCCTGTATACTGTGTATACAATTGGACTACATTTTTTAACAAAAAATTTAAACGGACTAACAGTGGCGGAAATAAGGGGGGTTATTGGGGTTATTTACTCCCCCTCCCCACATAGAATTCTGGGGGTAAATACCCCCCCCCCTAGAATGATTTTAAGATTGTCAACATATTCTAAATGATCCTATAAAACTCTAAAGTAATAATCAATGTAATTACAATTAGATGTTTTTTTTAAAAGAAAAAAGGGTATGGGCAATAGAGAATACATTTTTAAAACCTATTTGCATACTACTATAACATTGACGACAAGAAAATTTTGGAAATAAGAAATTAGAATATAAACAAAGATAATATTTTTTTCTGAATTTTGCAGAGTAGCTTTTCTAAAGATTTAAAAAAGTAACATCTTTTTCCTCTTTGAGTAAAACTATTTTTTATGTTACTTAAAATAAATTAGTTTTTTACAATCTTTGTAGTTAATGTAAAATGAATCACTATAATAATGAAGATATAAAACAAGGTGAAAGCTGAAAGGTATGGAAATGAAGCCTTTAAATTGATGGAGTTTGAAAATGCCATAAATGAGTAGAAAATGCAAATCAAACCCAACTAAAACCAATAGTTTGATATACATCATATTTTTCTAGGGGGGGGGGGGTAAAAAAATTCTAGGGGGGTAAAAAAAAATCCGGCCACATTAAAAAAATTTATCCCCCCCCTTCAGAATCCTTATTTACGCCCCAATTTCTGGAGAAAAAAAAATAAATTAAATTTTGGTGCAATATAAATATTTGTAGGGGGCTAATATTTAAGTCTGCTCGGGCAATTTGAATAAGAATGTGTGAGCATAATGTAAAAAATACAATTTGGGGGCATTTTTAAAGAAAGGGGGCAAAAAAAGAATCTGAGCTTATATTGAAAAATGATATACTGGAATTTGAGTTTGCTTTCAAAGTTGGGGGCATAAATGAGTGTAGGTAAAAAAAAATTACTGTGGGGGCGTATTTTTTCTCAAATTTTCGAGAAAATTAGTTTTATTTGGAACATACGGACCCCTCTTAAGGACTTCCATGGTCCGGCCCCATGGGGGGGGGCAAGCCTTCTTAAGAGGGGCATGCCCCCCCCCCTCCCCTTAATCAGGCTTGTTGCGCGCCTGTTTTCTATGAGGATGCGTGCTCCGACCATTATGATTTAGTTCTCCTTTTAATCAATACATTTTCAATATATGGGAAGAATTTTCTTGAAGTTTATGTATACTAATTGGGAGAAGGGTTGTGATGTACAACACAGGGTAAATCTTTGTAATATTAGAGAATGTTGGAAGTATACAGGGTGAATGTTGGAAGTATACAGCTGGTGAATGTTGGAAGTATACAGGGTGAATGTTGGAAGTATACAGGGTGAATGTTGGAAGTGTAAAAGGAAAAGGTTGATGTATACAAGGAGAATGCTTGATGTAACAGGGAGAATGTTTGATTTATAGAGGGAGAAGGGTTTCCTGTATACAGGGAGAAGGTTAATAAACATATAGAGAGAAGATTGATGTATATAAGGAGAATGATTGACGTATACAGGGAGAATGAAAGATGTATACAGTGAGAATTTTTTATGAATACAGGGAAAAAGTTGATGTTTACAGGGAGAATGTTTGGAGTTTAAAGGGAAAATGTTTGGTGTAAACAAGAAGAAGGTTTGAGGAATATAGGGAGAATGTTTGAATTATACAGAGAGAATGTTTGATTTATACAGTAAGAATGTTTGATTTATACAGTAAGAATGTTTGATGTATAGCAGGGAGAATGTTTGATGTATAACAGGGAGAATGTTTGACGTATACAGGAAGAATGTTTGATGTATGATAGAGGGAGAATGTTTGATGTATACATGAAGAATGTTTGATGTATACAGGAAGAATGTTTGATGTATACAGGGAGATTGTTTGATGTATAACAGGGAGAATGTTTGATGTATACGGAGAGAATGTTTGATGTATGATAGAGGGAGAATGTTTGATGTATACATGAAGAATGTTTGATGTATACAGGAAGAATGTTTGATGTATACAGGGAGAAGGTTTGATGTATACAGGGAGAAGGTTTGATGTATACAGGGAGAATGATTGATCTATACAGGGAGGATGTTTGATGTATAAGGGAGAAGGTTTGATGTATACAGGGAGAAGGTTTGATGTATACAGGGAGAATGATTGATCTATACAGGGAGGATGTTTGATGTATAAGGGAGAAGGTTTGATGTATACAGGGAGAAGGTTTGATGTATACAGGGAGAATGTTTGATGTTTACATGGAGAATATTTGATGTATACAGGGAGAAGGATAATGTATAGAAAGAAGATTGATGTATACTGGGAGAAGGTTTGATCTTTACAGGGAGAATGTTTGATGTATACAGGGAGAAGGTTTGATGTATACTGGGAGAAGGTTTGATGTATACAGGGAGAATGATTGATCTATACAGGGGGGATGTTTGATGTATAAGGGAGAAGGTTTGATGTATACAGGGAGAAGGTTTGATGTATACAGGGAGAAGGTTTGATGTATACAGGGAGAATGATTGATCTATACAGGGAGGATGTTTGATGTATAAGGGAGAAGGTTTGATGTATAAGGGAGAAGGTTTGATGTATACAGGGAGAAGGTTAATGTATACAGGGAGAATATTTGAAGTATAATGGGAAAATGTTTGAAGTATAAAGAGACAATGTTTGATTTATACAGGGAGAATGTTTGATGTTTACAGGGAGAATATTTGATGTATACAGGGAGGGAGTTTACGGAGAGAGGGTAAGGGAGGGAGTTTACAGAGAGAGGGTTTAATGGATTTAATGGCATACTAAAAAAGGGCTGGAAGTATACATAGAGGAGAGGGCTGCAATACGAAGATATTATTTGAAGTAACAGATACGGGGCTCAAAGTATACAAGCTTTAATAGGCAGAAGGTTAGAGTTATGTACTATACAATAAACTTAAAGAAGGGTTGTGAGGTATATACTCAAAGAAGATGCGAAGTATAAGGTGCATGGGTTTAAATATATCTTGTAGAGTATTTGCCCGTCATGGGCGTATACGGGAATTCGTCAGCCTGTTGGAGCCCCGTAAAATTAAGCAATTCCACCTTTTGCGATTTGCAATATTTAAACTCATAAAATGCATTGAAAATTAACCGAGCTAAAAGCATAAGGTAGAAAATTAAAAGCATCAGATTAGATTGTTTAAAAGTTTAAGATAAATTAGAATATGGATGGTTGAAGAGTAAAACCAAATTCTTTAAACATTGTTTTCTGCATTACTGCCTGCACATAGTGGAATTTAATGCAGAGAAAAGGCAGCATATATTTAAAGCTATTACAGGGTGTCTCGCAAAATATGATAAATGACAGAATTGAACGACGACCTGAAGATTTTCATGATATTTGAAATAATTTTTGGCTTTCATTCGTTAACCATGATACTTTAGAAATTTGTAAGGTCTAGGCGTTTAACACCCCATGCATGTAAATAATTCATATAAAGTTGTAAGTTTTGTTTGTCTGTTTGGATGTCCGATCATAACTCAGGAACCCTTTGGCCGATTAGCTTCAAATTTTGATTGGGTAACTCGCGGTTGGTAGAACCACGGGAATGTTCTTTGCCTGGTTTAAAACTTCAAAATTGAGTGGGTTGATTTAGGAAAACTCCCGGCAAAGCTGGGTTCACAAGCTAAACCTTAATAATATATAGCATATATATATATATATATTTTATATATATAGCCTGTTACGGGCACTTTTCGGTAACGGGGATTTTTTCCTGAAAATCTGGGAAATGTGGTAAATGTGGAATTTTCCGGAAAAGCTTAGTAGCAGTAATTATTCAGTCAGTAAAATTAGTTTATAAACTATTTTCAATTGGAACCAGTGCAGAGGGCTTCTTGGGTCCCAATTAGCACATATATTGGATTTTATTTTTTTTTATCTGCATAAGAGTTATATAAGTAAACCATGTATACTTGTTATTAATTTGAAATCTATCTATTTAGCGATGATTATATATTGGATAAGGTCCAGTAGTATTTATATGATCTGCGGGCAGTTAGTGTCCGACCTTATAGTA